TAAATTCAGATTTTAAAACAGTGAGGGAAGGAGCAGTTGGCAAATATACAAAGCGATGAGTTCCTTGGTTGACTGCTTCAGTAGGACCCAATGTTATAATGGATGCCCCAATATGTGCACTTTTTTGTTTGTTTGTTTGTTTGATGAAAAGCGAAGGAGAGAAGGATGATACAGACTGGGAATACTGGGAGAAGGAAATGAACCTTTGCATCTTCTTTTAGCTGCCATCTGGATTGAGGTGCCCACTTCACATGGACATCATTTACCTTGGGTTGAGGAGGAAGGGAGAAGCTGCCAGTAAAACTAATGCAATAGCCGTTGCTCAGTGGCAAACCAGGTACTTGGCATGTAAACGGTTCTGGATTCAATCCAGAAGAGGTGGGATGAAGCCTCCCCATAGCCCTTGATCCTTTGGTCAATGGGAGTAGGCTGTGAATGCTTCTCTTTAACTCTACCATCTTAGGATGACCAATTCTGAACCCCCAAATACCAGAAATGGCCAGCAATAAAAAACAATGTAATATCCTATATTGGAAAGCATAGACAAACATCATCTTTTCCCCTTGGATCTTACAACTCATAGCTTGATTTTTTTTCTTTATTAGTTTTAATATATATCTACATGAGTTAGCATTAAACAAATTAAGTACAACATCACATAAGAACATCTCTGCATAAAACCATTGAGAATCCTGAAGAAAGGAATCAACATTACAATGATCATATAAATGGAAACCAGATGGTGAGGAGTTTTCTTGATTCAGATGATGGGATAGAAGGCATGCTTATGAAATTTGCAGATGACATCAAATTGGAGGGGTGTGTATATGGCAAATACACCAGAGGAAAGTTTCAGGATTCAAAATGGCCTGGACAGATTGGAGAACTAGATCAAAACTAAGAAAATGAATGTCAACCAGGATAAATGTAAGATCCTACATCAAGGCAGGTAAAAATGAAATGCACAAATGTAGGATAAGAGGCAAAGCAGGATGTGTGAAATGATCTAGAGGCCTTAACTAAACCTGAGTCAACAATGTGATGCAGCAGTCAAAAAATCTAATTTAATTCCAAGCTGCATTAACTGGAGTATAATGCCAAGATCAAGGGAAATAGTGGTGCTACTCCTATTCTGTTTTAGTCAGACCTCACCTGGAATATGGTGTCCAGTTCTGGGCACCACAATTCAAGAAGGACATCAACAAACTGTCAAAACAAGATTATCAATGATTTGGAAACTAAACCTAAAGAGGAACAGCTTAGGGAGCTGGATAGGCTTAGTATAGAGAAGACTGAGAGGTGATATGATAGTTATCTTTAAATATCTGGAGGGATGTCAAGTAGAAGATGGAGCAAGCTTGTTTTCTGCTGCTCCAGAGACTAAAACATGAACCAGTGGGTTCAAATTTCAAGAAAAGAGATTCTATCTAAATTAGAAAGACCTTTATTTTTACTGTAAGACCTGTTGGAGAGTAGAATAGATTGCCCTAGAGGGTGGTGGACACTCCATCCAACAGAGGTTGGATGGCCATTTTTCCAGAGTGATTTAGTTGTAGAGTTGACCTTCCATATTTGTGGCTTTCTCTTTTGAGGATATGATTATTTGCAGCTTTGATTCATATGTTCTCTCTACAAATCTCTAGGTCCTCCAATGCAACTCTGCCAGAAATTGACCATTGAGTTGTGCTGGAGAACCTAGAAGTTCCTAGAAAAAACACTTCTCTAGGCATGTGTAGGTCCTCCAGCATGAGTCTATGATCATTTTCTGGCAGATGTTGACCACAGAGTTGCACTGAAGGACCTGGGGAGTCCTAGAGAGGTGTTCTCTTAGGTAAAAAGTATAGTGGGTTTTATTTGCAGTTTTTCCACATTCATGGGGGTCCTTCACCCCTAACCCCAGTGAATGTGGAGGGACCATTGTATATTTTTGTGATGCAGGGTGATGGATCAGATGGCCTTTGCTGTACCTTACAATTCTTATGATTGTGTGATCTGAGGAATTTTTTAATGTCCTAACTTGTTCTGTAAATTTCTCTGTAATAACTAAGGATCAGATTTTCTGTCTCTGTTGCCTTAACAGTAAGTTTTTACCTCTTTTCCAGTTTTTCTCAATCACTTGTCTCATTGCCAGACACAGGGAACTAATTAATTCCAAGTGTAACAAGGAGCTATTGCTTCCAGAGAAAATACTTATAGATTGGATCTTACAGCACCAGGAGCATGATATGGTGAGGTGGTGGTGGGGAAGCACAGGATTTCCAAAACAAGGGTTTCATCGCTGAGAAAGCCTTATTTATCCATCATCACCAAACTCAGTAGATTATGCAAAAGCCTAGTCGACTAATGTAAAATAAACTTGATGAGAAATTCAGTAGATAAGGAACTCGAAGGGCCTTGTTCTTAAATACGTCTGGTAAGATCTTGCGTCATCAATGTAACTATGATGACAGAGATCTGTCATCACAGTTATGTTGGACAATGTCCAGTGCCCAGACCAACATTATTCCAAGATGCTAGAGATTGGGGTGATAGGAAATTACATCTGCAGCAATTTCCAAGTCACAAGGCACATTGTGAAGAAGCAACTGAAAAGATCCCTTGGGGTCCCACTCCAACGGCTTGTTCCAAATAATCCTCCAATTGCAAAAGTGTTGCAGACCTTGATCTCCAGTGCCTTGGAAATGTTATAATCTCTTCTATGAAGGTCAGATATAAACCTCTTCTGCTATGGACTAGAAACTTGTGAGTGAAGCCAACATTGTCTATCTTTGGACAATCCATCATGGTAAAATTAAATGGATACTTTCATTGGTTTTATGAGCAGAAGAATCATTTTCAAGGGCTGTAGGTCCTCTGCACCCACCTTACTCCTGGCCTCCAACCACAGCTGGTTCATCTCCGGTATACTTCCATAACCCACACATTTACAGTGTTTTAGAGACTTACCACATAATAAATATTGCAAATTTGCAGGAAAGGAGTCGATGTAATGTGTGTGTTTTTTTCCCCCCTCTCAGCAATGTCTGCTTACATTTACAGAACTGGCTGAATGGATTTGACAGTATTTGAAGTCCTGTGATTTTACAACCCCTTTGAAATGCATTACGTTTTGATCCTCCAGGAGCCAAAATTAAAGAACGCATTTGTATCCAAGTTCAGTTTCCCAGCTGGTTTCACCAGAATTTAGTCATGTTTACGGTAAAAATTTAAAAGAAACCGAATGCACAGCTTGAAATGGTGGTTGGTGGTGGTTGCTTTGATATGTGTCCCTCCCTTCTTATATACTCTCAAATTTGGTCTGCAATTAGATGATAATTTGTATCAGAATTACATAAACAAACCTGGATTGGATGACAATATGAAACAGGCAAATAGGTATACATACTGTTTGAAACCTGTCCAGTATTAAAGCTAAATACATGTGTGGCTGAGCTCTGTCAGACATACTGTTTCAATAAAGTGGAAAAGCTGGTATCATTTCCTCCCAAAGCTTCAAATGTACATGTTTACAAATTTGTACTGCACACTAATATGTAAACAGATATTATTGGAAACAGATGCCTATATGAACAGTATTGATCAACTCCTCTTGTTATCATATTGCTAGAGACATGCCAGTGTAGTGTAGTGGTTTGCGTATTGGACTAGGACTCTGGAAACCAGGGTTCGATTCCCCACTCGGCCATGAAGACCCATTGGGTGAGTTCAAGTGAGTCACAAACTCTCAACCCAAGGAAACCCTGTGACATGTCTGCCTTAGGATCACCATGAGTTGGAAAAGACTTGAAGGCACACAGCAACAATAATACACACAGGCACAAAATTCAGTAATTTGTGTGCGTGTGCGTATGTGTGTGTCTTGCTGTATGCATACATGTGTGTATATGTGGCTTGAAGCTGCTTGATGACTTATGGCAACCTCATTAATCTCATATGGATTTTATAGGCAAAGAATACTCAGAGGTGATTTGCCATTGGCCTACAGCACCTGGTATTTCTTGGCAATCTTCCATCCAAGTACTAACCAGATGCAGCCCTGCTTAGTTGCCTAGATCAAAAGAGATCCGGTACTTTCATGGAGCATATTATAATGCATGGCCATATGAAACAGAGGCTGAGATCCTACTTCAGAGGTGATGGTGGTTGCGTAAGAGTCCCAGAATGGCATAGTGGTTGTGCGTTGGACTTGGACCCTGGGAGACCAAGTTTTGAATCCCACTTAACCACGGAGATCCACTGGGTGACTTGGTGTGGTAAGTCACACTCTCAGCTTTGGAGGAAGGCAATGGCAAACCTCCTCTAAAGCAATCTTCCCAAGAAAATTTCATAACAGGTTCATCTTATGACATAAGTCAGGGTTGGCACAAAAGGACACAACAACAAGCATGTGCTATGTGGCCACATTGTGCAACTGAATACACAGGCAAAGGTCCATCTGCACGCAAAGCAGCATCACATGCACTTATATGATCTTGTCTGAATGTGGATGATGACCATCAGACAAAAATGCTCAACTGTTTCCATAGGGGAACTTACATATGCGTAAGACACCAAATAGGACTCTGGATCTTTGTGCCAGTTTCAGGACAGGTACACTGGCTGCCAATTTCTTTCTGAGAAGAATTCATGGTGCTGAGTTGACAATGCATGCTGTTGCACATTTGGATGCCATACTGGGAGAAAGGTGGAATATAAATTAAAGACATAAATAATAAACAAAACAAAACAAAACAATAACAGCTGGAATCCTGTATCACAGTGGTGATATTTCAGTCTTCCTTTTTGTAATCTGCAGTTTTCTATCTCTCTTTAATTTTGGAGAGTGCATGTTACAGAGCCTCTCACCATGAGAAGTCATGAAACTTTTAGCATTAGTAAGTAAACCTACTTCATATGCTTATACATGATGACAAATCCTGCTTTATTTCTCTTATAGGTCCTGAACGTAGAAAGTGTTTTTGGTGTGAGACTGGTTGTTGCTCACCTTCTGATTGACAACGCTAATTACTCTGCTTGTGAGCAAAACTACATCTCTTACACTCCCCAACAAAGCTACCTGCACACTGATGGCACTAAGTAAATATATAATGTTAAGCATGTCAAACAGTGGTAAGGAATATTTGGATCTGCAGGTCTTTGTGACTTCAACTCCCAGAAATCCCAGCCAATGGGGGATTATAGAAGTGGTAGTCTAACACTTCTAGGGCAAAAAGTTCCCCATCCTTGAAAGAGATGATCCCACATTAAATCTGGAAGACCTACACAATGACTTTGATACAGACTAGAAGGGGGTATGGAAGTTACCCAGAAAGTTCCTTTTCCAGCCACATGGGACCTGCAAGCTACTCAATTCCCAACCCTCCTGCATTGGTATGCTGGAATTTCTAAAAGCAGTGCTTATCTCATTTGTGTTTTTGTCATGCTAATGACATTTTGCACTGATCTGCAGAAAACTTAGAGAGTTCCTTTTATGAGGCATTTTGATGCATTTTAATTAAATGAATAAATCAATTAAGTTCATTACTCCAACTCTGGAAGGATCAGAGAAGGAACAGTTTCTCTGCCTTCCTTGCATGCTATGACCATGAAGACCTAGCCTGCAGGGGAAAATCAGCAAAGGCTGCATTGTTGTATAAACAAGGTCTTTCCATTGGATTCCCCAGGTCTGAGCCCCAGGTGATCTCAAGCAAGCTGGGCTGAGGAAATGTCTAAAAAGTTCAGATGGAAATGCTTAGAAAGAAGTCAGTGGAACTTGGTTGGTATAGTGAAGTTTGGCCTTCCATATATTTATGGGGAGAAAGTATGAATGGTAGAGTTTTTACAGATGTTGGGGATTACATCAGGGCATCTTGGCTTCCAGCTCAGGTATCCTGCAGCTGATTTTGTACAACACACCTCATGTTTTATAGTTTGTGCAAAGCCTATTCCAATGTCTTAGCTTTCCCCCAACAGCTCCCACTGATAGATCTAAGTTATACAAAAAGTCCTGAGAAAAAAAACTTTCCCCTTAAAAAGATTGGCAAGATGTAAGGGAATCAACATTTCTGGTTTTCTGATAGCTATTTCATTCATATATATATATATATATATATGTTGTTGTTGTTAATGATTCATGGAGACCCTGTGGATGAGGCATCTCTAAGATCCCCTGTCCTCAACTACTCAGTATCTGTAAGGTCCATGGTCTCCCTAAATGAGTCCATCCATCTGGCATATGGTCTTCCTTTCTTTCTACTACCTTCTACCTTTCCTAGCATTATTGTCTTTTCTAATGATTCATGCCTTCTCATGATGTGGCCAAAGTATGACAGCCTCAACTTGATCATCTTGGCTTCCAGGGAGTGTTCAGGCTTGATCTGTTCTAGAACCCATTTGTTTGTCTTTTTGGCTATCCACAGTATCCTTAGCCCTTTTCTCCAGCACCAGATCTCAAATGAATTAATTTTCCTTCCATCAGCTTTCTTCACTGTCCAGCATACATCCATACATAGCGATGGGGAATACAATGGTTTGGACGAATCTAACTTTAGTGCTCAGTTGTGTATCTTTACACTTTAGGATCTTTAGAAGCTGTTGTTGTTATATGCCTTCAAGTTGACTCTCACTTATGGCAACCCTATCCTCGGATTTTCTTGGCAAGACTAATCCAGAGTACAGGTCCCATTGCCTTCCTCTGTGGCTGAGAGAGTGTAACCAAAGGTCACCCAGTTGGTTTCCATAACTGGGCAGCGATTTGAACCCTGGCCTTCTAGTCCAGCACACAAACCACAACACCACGATGGCTCTGGACTATACATAATGCCTGTGAAAACAGCGACAAACTGTTCAAAATTGTGCCTTCCTGTTGCCTGCAGGCTGTATGTTCCAAAGGTCTATTGCAACTGAATCACTTTGCAGATTGGTTCTGTTTTTCTTCCTAATGTTTTGATT